ACGATTTTACAGCGTTTATTGGATAGCAAATAAAGTGCGTTTCAATTATGGTACACGATCTAACGCAGGAAAAGACATAGATTGCGTTCATACGCGTTTTAAAATAAGAATTTAAATGCGTTCATATGCGTTTGCTCTGATTAACACAAATAAACTCGTCGAAGTTCTTTAAACGCGTTTAAAAAGATAATTACAAACGCATTTATCTGCGTTTTTATCATAACTCGATGCCGGAACGCATCAGAACGTCACCATTTGCAACTTAAACGCATCTAAGTGCGTCTAAAATGCGTTTCGTGATTACATGGGATGGACCAGAAAGAAATTTATCGAGAGAAGAAAGGAAATGGCTTATTGATAAACATGACTGAACCTTACCAGCAAAAAAGTGATTGTGTCAACGTTTTTTTCCCCTACTAATCAACTCTTTTGCTATTCATGACTACTACAACTCCTTTTTTAAAAACTATATTGTTAAAAAAGCTTTTTTCGTAGACAGACGCAAAACTATCTAAGTTCTTCTTCAAATCTTTCCATCAATGTGCCACCCTTTGGAGTAAAACTAAGGTATAGCCAATCACAACATCCAATAGGATTCTTTTGTTTGAAGGATACAGAGGCGTTTGATTTCGTACCACATATATATACTAGTAAAATACACTTCTATTCAGCGTGTTGGGTGTGAATGTCGATGGAGCTATGCTTTTGATTGTGAATGTTGGTATTCATTGCATTGTCAGACAGAACCCCACCCACACCCCTGCTTGTATTAAATGCCTTTAAAAATTACACTAAATTAGCAACAAATGACGTGTCATAAGAAAAAGAAAAGAATATATGGGGCATCTTTATTTTATTTATATTTTTTTTCTGTCTTCGTGCTCATTCCTTCAGCTAGATTCTACGTTGATACCATTCACGAAAAGTGCTAGCCAGTGAAATAGATAACAGAATAACACGGAGGAATAAAATATCACTTAGTTAATTTTAAAATATTTTTTAAAAAATTGTGGGAAAATATAATCTTCGCTATTTTTTGTCGGCATCTTTTCTTTCGGTCATTTTAATGCCATTCAAATTTTCAATCTAATATTACTTTGTTAATGATTTAGATCTAAAAATTTATTTTAATCTTTTGAATACAATAACCCATGTGATGGAAATCGGCGATTTGTCGGCATCCATCTCCAATATTTGAAAAATCAACGATTTTTTCTAGATGTCGTGATTAATCGTTGATATTCTTCAAAATCGCGAGAAATCGCTTACACTTAGGCGATTTTGGCAACATGGGAGTTGCCATCTAAATATTCTCTATACTGAGATGAAATAGCGATATCATGGTATGCTTGACACACTGAAATATGCGACTTGGCTGATGTCAAAATGCGGAAGTTCTTCATTTCAGTAATATATGCCGCCTATAACCAAACAAAGATAGCATCTCACTCTACATTGTTCATTCTTGTAACAGTTTCTTTTCAAAATAAAATTAGCAAGTGCTAAAATAGTCAGAATGGCAAAAAGTCCACAATCATCAATCATATCCAATCGGACAGCAAGCTTTCTTGCATTGTTGCGTAGCCACAACCGTAGGAAGACTAGCAACTTTCCAACACCCATGTGCATATGACCAGGAACGTATAAACTGTATTGTTTGGCAGAACTACTGTGTTAATATCTTTGGAATTTAGTTTAAGCTGTAATTCAATCAAAAATATCAGAAGCAAAAGCTGAGATGTGAATCCCATCGATACTCCAGAAATAACCAATTAAACGCCATCATAAAAGGTAGTGGAGTTTACTTGGTAGTACGTGTTTTGTCTGAATCGTTATATTCAACAAGATGATAATGTGTATGAAAACCAAAATATACGATGTCTCTAAACTACCGAATTGATTATTTATCGAGTCATACTGAAGAAAAACAGTTTAAAATAACAAAAATTTTTAATGCATAAATTAAGCATTCATTGACGCTCTGTTATAACGCAGGCACTTATGTCTCACTTTTTGGTAGCAGTTATAGATGACTGTATCCTCCAATAAATATCTCGAGGGTTTGAACATTTATATGAGATTAACAACCCCACACATCCATATTAATACATTAGAATATTTCCCCTTTGCAAGTGTGTGCAAGCATGTTTTTACGCCCTTTAAATTGTTGTATGCATCACAGAAAACTAATATAGCCGACAAAAAAAACTATAAAATAAGCATGACCCGTGGCGATGCAATACTAATTACTCGGAATTGTTTTGAATTATATTTTAGAAAAATTTTCAACTGATCGATGTAATACAGTTTTCTGGAGTATTAAATTATTTGCCAGTAAATTGTACGGCTCTGATCAGATTAAAGAGAATGTGTCAATCTTCATGGTATGAATGTTAATCAGCTGCTTAATAACAGTCACACTCATAGTCAGCCATATCGACATCGTATTCCTACGTTACTGCAAGGAACGGAAAGGCAATCATCTATAAATCATGCTATTCATGTTGGCTTCGACACACACTTTTGATTTTTTCAAAAATCTGCGTTCGAAATGATTCAACAACATTCATGGCCGATTTGTTGTTGCTATAATCTGCTAGTATTTATTTAGATAAATAAAATATGCTATAATCCTAAAGCCGAAAATTTTCTTTGAGACTCGATCCGTCGAAACTGTTATTTTTTATTTATTTCAATATTGCATATTAGGATGATACATAAGTTCTCGGCTTTCTACTGGTTTGGAAAAGACCGATGGATATGTTACTACTTGTGGAAGAGCCGGTGGACCTTCTGCTTGTTGAAAGAAGATCGATGGATATGCTTCTGGTTGTTGAAAAAAGACCGATGGATATGCTGCTGCTTGTGGAAAAGCCGGCGGACCTTCTGCTTGTTGAAAAAAGACCGATGGATATGTTGCCGGTTGGAAAAATGTCGATGGATCTGATACTGGTTGGGAAAATGTCGATGGATATGCAACTGGTTGGAGAAAAGCCGCTGGATTTCCTAATATTTGTGGAAAAGGCCGTGGGCTCTTTACTGGTTGTGAAGAAGACGATTGATCAACATTGGCTTTGGATACCACACCTTGTTGATTTTCTAGCTTAGTCAAAGAGAATGTTTCGTAAAAATAATAGCTATTCATGATTTACCTCTCGATTTCATTTCACGAGCCTCTTGACACAATGCGCATGGACCACAAAAGGATGTTGTTAGACAGTCACCGCACGATGGATTAGCCTCTAAGTTATATTTTTCACGTAAGTTTTGACGTTCAAAATAATGTGGCACCCAACATAAATAAAAGTGAGCTAGAACTCCATAAAGACAACACATTAAACAGCAATTTTTACCATCTATTTTTTCTGCATTTGAACCAAATAAACACGGTGCACACCAATACCCATAGCAGCATGTACCACAATCATCGAAACAATCACATAACTCCTCTATAATAATATATAGTCGTCGGATAATATGTCAAATATTACTTTTCTCTCACCATTCCACTCATTTTGACTCGACATGTTCGATTTATTAGACACTATGAACCGAAAAATCTAGAGAAACATCTTTGACGTTTACATTATGATTCAAAATAAATAATCAATTACAAATATATGATAATTAACATAACAATATTCTCTCACTGATATCATCTTATACACTGAATGATAGAGAAAACAAACGATTATAGAAAGATAAATTCGCATCGCGCTCTGCGCTCTAGTTCAGTTACACTGTTTTAAGGACATTTTTACTCTCGCTATTAAATTTGTCGACTGTGTTTTGGAGGGTCAACGCAAATGGTCGAATATCCTTGAAAATATAACAGTAATCCCTGTTTTCATAATACTCGTTTAAATCTGGCATACTATTAATCATTATAAGTCACAACATTTTGACCGAGTGTGGGTACGGGTAGGCGAGTGTCTCAATGAGGAGAATAGAATTTACCAAGCCTATCACCCATCCACATCCACAGCATCTCTCGATCACTGGACTCGACAATGTTTGGTTTCTAGCTAAACAGTTATTCCAAATCGAATGTCTAAAAAACTAGTGTTTGTGAATTGCGTCTTGATGGAACAAAACTCTTACTGGTCTTACTCAGTATTAGATAACGGACGTAAACAGTACGAAACGTATTTTAAAAATTAAGACAAATAGTCTAATATGAAACTTGAAAAGAGTTTCCAATTCATTTCAATTTTCGAAATCATTTATGAGTTTTGTTGTGTCATTTTCTTTTCAATGTAGAATACCAAAGAGGGTTCTACCACCAAGAGTAATATTACATCTCACTTGGGTGTAACATAAAAATAAGCTGAGCTTGTGAAGCATTTCATTCGAGTTCGAAAACTGGAAATATGGCTTGTTCACGAATATCTTAATGAAGGATTTAAGTGACAGTAACAAATCGTATTTTGCCAGTATATGATTTGTATGCAGCAAAGTAGACTAATAAACTGTGATAGAAAATCACCCATGCATTAATCATTGAAATTCTCTCAGCTTTAAATATAAAATAAAATAATAAAAATGATGATTCACTATAATTTTTCGCGAATATGAATAGCATTTACTTTTTTGCTGGTCTATTATTTTTGCTTGTGAAAATAATAATACTCTAGCTAGCACGCTTTTTGTCCTGCCTTATATATGTTGGTATTGCATTACACAATAAAAACATTTTTAGTTATAAAGTAAACAACACCGTCATTCTTGAAGAAAACATGTTTATCATAATACGTCAATTTAAGCAGGATATTATTTAAATGTGTGCAAGCTTACTTGAAAAATACATAGTAAACATGCATAATACATAATGTACTGTGACCATTCAATCGTGATATTTTCTCTCGTTCTCTCCAATGAAGATAGACTGCATTTTGTTTTTCAGCTCTTTACATGTGCTTATGAGACACCGATTTAGAAAAAAAGGTAACTAAGAGACAGATAATTTGATAAAAGCATAAAGGTAGATTTTTTAATTGTATTTTCAAAAAATCGGCTATAAACAACCTCAAACATATACTGATATTTCTATTCATATTTCGAATTTTTGATATTCAGAAAATGCTCGGTTGTCTATGGGTGGGTGTGTATTTACTCATCATTAACATTCAAATCAGTTATTGGACACATAATTGACTGAGAGAACGATATGCTATTGTTAAATGATGTAGGGAATATAATTTCTATATTGTGTATCCAGAATACTTCGATTCACTTATATATGTTAGACATTATAAATATTTTGTTTTAAATGATTATTTTTCTTAGCATAACATATTTCAAAAGTTTAGAATGCTTTTTGATCGAACGCCTGCTAAATAAATAATCACTCGATAGCATCTATGTAATTAAATATTTCGAAAAATATTTCTAGCTAGTTAACGTTTCTCGTAGTAAATAAATGTGTTGTTATTGAATGAAAAAATGATAGTGCAAGGAGAGTATGCAGACTGCCTAATTTCTTCAAGATGGAAACAATGCGCTCCAAGGGATAAGGAAGTGCACAGAGGACGTCGTCCTCTCTTGTGATATTCACTCTTGAAATATCAATCGATGTCACTAATGAGACATTATTGTCCTTACGAAAAAGTTTTAAAAGACATTTATTTTAAAGAAATTCATTGGTAGGACTTCTTTGCACAATAAACCGTTGTAGCAAAGTAGAATATCTAGAAACATATTTCAGAGCTTATTCAACACATCTCACTTTCAACATTATGAGTGTGTGATGATTTAAAAACTGTGTTTGTTTTTCTTTGAATAACATTCATTAGTGAAATTGAACTTAACGTTCAGATCTTTAACTCTTTCCGGTCTGATGTTGCCAAATGGCAACATTCACTCAGTATTTGATGAAGAGTTTTCTGATGCGAATGACATATATCGTTTTTATAATATGATAATTTCCGTAGCAGATTTCTACAATTGTTGAATATCGAAAAGATAAAGAAAGTCATTTCATTGAGATATTGATTTAATCGTCTTAAAAATGACCCAAAAATGCATCCGAGTCTTTAAAATGATATTTGTTTAGCGCTAACTGCTTTATATCAGAGTTGATCGGCGGATAATTTTCCTCAGTAAAGTGGCTATATATAACGACCTGGACGATGATTACTACTTGTATGGTACGAATAGAATACAATGATGTTGCCATTTTGCAAAAGCCGGCCGAAAATGGACAAAAATTTCTAAAATCATATTTCTTCACCAATGTTTAAAATAAAACTCTACACTACAATCACATGCTAAAATACTGCGTTTGAAAAAGAAATAGTCCTTCTATGTTTCGATCATGCTGCACAATAATGTATTACACAAAACACAATATAAAAATTAGCGAAAATTATTCTTAATTGAAATAATTGTGACCTCGTAAGAACAACACAGCTTCCTGCTGCTCCATGAGAAAAAATGTTTCATATTCGTTATCGGTGTTGTTAAAAATACTTGCACCATCTATCACACAATATCATCATTGGTGATAGATATTTCGTTTCTTTCATTCTTTCGTTTTTGGTATTGTTCTGTTCTCATGCTGTACGATACCATAGAGAAGACATAGGCCGGAATCTCACTGAAAAAGATAAAACAAAATAAGCGACGCGATTGGTCTATTACGATTTAAGTCGTCTTTTTTAGATGACTTATTCGTTCATACATCGTAATCGATAGTTGTTATACAACAAATTACGATGCCCCTTTTTTGTTTCTCTCTCTCTCTCTCTCTCTCTCTTGCTATGTCTTGTATTTCTTCTTTTCGTTTCTGTTAGTCTTTTTACTAACTTATCTTCTTTATTAAAAATACCAACTCTTCTTATCCTTTTCCAATCCATCTTTACTTCGGTCTCTTGACCAATAGAAGATGTGAGAACAAAGAGAGAGGTAGTGATCGCAGATAGCGCCACTACCTAACACCTCCACCCTTTACAAGTGAACAGCTTCATCTGTTCACGAAACATGTCAAACAGCAAGTAACGAAACTAACATAAACAAAAACAAATAGGAACTACAGTGAAAATACGTAGTGATAAATCAAAAGTGACACAGAACAAAAATATAATGATGAGATATGATTCATAGAAAAAATTTCTATGTGAATATTGAGACGTTCGATTGTGATCATTAATGATGGCGTTCAATTAAGCGATCTAATATCTTTTACTGTTACTTGTGCTCGATGATCAGTTGTAGAATGTTGTACCAGATATGTTTTTTCATTGAGCTTATTGATAACTATGTACGGACCGATAAATTTAGAAGAAAATTTATTAGCAGATGAAACGCGATTACGGATTAAAACGTGTTGACCAACGATATATTGCGGGTTTGAACGATTACGATCGTATCGTTCTTTAGCTATACGTTGATGTTTAAGGTTATTATATCGAGCCGCAATTTTAACATGCTCGATAAATTGTGTCATCGTGTCCTGATAATGTTGAACGTCTGTAGGAATGATGAGGTTCGAAGGAAGATCAGCGAGAAAACGAGGTGTGCGCGCGAACATCAATTCAAATGGGGTACAACCTGTTGAAGCATGTTGAGTTGCGTTATAATTAAATGTGGTGGGCAATAGTTTTTTTATCCCAATTCGATCGAGAATCATTCGAAAGTGCAACGAGATTAGGAACTAGTGTAGCATTATGACGTTCACATTGTCCATTAGCTTGTGGGTTGTACGGTGTTGTTTTTATGTGACAACAATTAGTTAATTGAAGCAACGATTTGTACAACGACGATGTGAAGTGACGACCATTATCTGTAATAATCTCTAATGGAGTACCGTAAAGCATAAATACATCATATAATAAAAATTGAGCAGCTGTTGTGGAAGTATTATCATAAACGGCTTTGGTTACCACGAATTTTGAAAAAAGATCTGTAAGAACAATGAAATATTTCTTACCAGATTTAGATTGAGGAACAGGTCCAACATAATCCATAGCTAGTCGTTCCCACACACCACGAGGGGGTTCAATAGATTGTAAATGGCCATCCGGTTTACGACGAGAAATTTTATTTTTTCGACAATTGAGACAGGATAAAATATGTGTTTCTATATCTTTGTACATATTTGGCCAGTAAAAACGATCACGTATCTTGTAAAAAGTTCGTTTAATACCAAAATGAGCACCATTAAAAGTTGAGTTGTGATAAGTTGATAAAACACTAGAAATTAACGAAACAGGTAAATAACGTAGTTTAATGTGTTGTCCAAATTTACGATTAACGACTTTATAAAGGACATTGTAATCATCAATAACATAATTAACAGGTAATGGACAAGTGGTTTTTATTTTATGTATTTGACAATCTTGATTTTGATGTTGATTGAACGTATCATTATCGAAAAATGTGGAAACGACTCGTCCAGGTGAAGCTGCTGATGTTGTCTTTGTTGTTGTCGTTGTAGACGATGTAATAGATTTAAATGGTGTGATTGTTGGTTGAATGTGAGGATCAGAAGAAGAAGGATGGTGTTTTTTCATTGATCGTGTAGTAACTACGTTGATTGTAACATTTTCAGTTTGAGTTGACGAGTTCATAACATGTGGTGTATCATAAGAATAAGTTTCAGGTGCGTCAACTGGATAACGAGAAAGAGCATCGGCAGTAGTATTATCTTTGCCAGAGATGTGTTTCACAATCATATCATATTCTTGTAATGTTGTCATCCAACGTTCAATACGAGCATTATTGTATGATTTCTTCATTAGTGAAAGTAAGGGTTTGTGATCAGTCTCGAGTGTAAATTTTTGTCCTTCAATATAAGTACGAAATTTTTTAGTAACACTCCACCAGATAGCTAATGTTTCTAGTTCAATGGTGGAATAACGTTTTTCTGCAGGTTTTAAACTTCTCGATGCAAATGCAACAGGTTTATAAGCAGGAATAGTTGATACGTCTTCACCATCATGAGTTTGTTTCTGTAATAGGACTGCACCAATACCAACCCTTGATGCATCTGTTCGAATTATATAAGGTTTAGTTGGATCAGGTAGTATAAGTACTGCTGGAGATGTAATGGCATCTTTTAAGTGATTAAACGATGTTTCTTCAGTTTCTGTCCAAATAAATGAAAAACCTTTCCGAGTAAATTTATTCAGTGAAGATGATATTTGTGCAAAACGAGGTATGAATTTCCTATAAAAACCAACCATCTGTAAAAATCAATGAGCAGCTTTACTCGATTTAGGTACTGGAAATTGTAAAATCGCACGAACATTATCATCATTCGGAGAACAACCAGCTGCACTAATCGTATATCCTAAGAAAGAAATTTCCTGTTGAAAAAATGAACATTTGTTGTAATTTAATTTAAAATTTGACTCATGTAATACGTGACAAATGTTGCCAACATCTATCAGGTGTTGATTAAAAGAACGCGAGTAAATAACGATATCATCTAAATAAGCGAGACAGACATCCCAACGTAATGAACCAAGTGTTTTATTCATTAATCTTTGAAACACTGATGGAGAATTCTTTAAACCTTGTGGCAAACGATTAAAATGCCATAGGCCATCATGAGTGATAAACGCTGTTTTATTACGTTCTTCACTAGCTAATGGGACTTGAAAATATCCACTACGTAAATCAATTTTAGAAAAAATGTGTGATCCATTCAATCGTTCAATGACATCATCAATACGTGGCAAGGGATAAATATCTTTTTGAGTAATAGAATTGAGGTTTCTATAGTCGATACAAAATCGAGGAGATCCATCATGTTTTTTAACAATAACGACCGGAGAAGCCCAAGGTGAAGTCGAAGGACTAATAATTCCATTATTTAACATTTTCTTTACTTCATCATTTATAATTTGTCTGTTAAGGGGTGAAATACGACGAGGATTTGTAGCTAGAAGCGGATGATCACCCGTGTTAATAGCTTGTTGAGGCGAACAGTTAATGCCCTTCACACATGAATCATCGAAAAGTTGCTCGTATTGGTGAATTATTAGATAAGCTTGCATACGTTGAGTAGGATTTTTTATATGTTCGACTAATGCTTCTATTGTTTTATTTTCACATAATAAATGTTTATTACAACAAATGAGAAAATGTTGATACAGCTCTTGTTCATTACAAAATTTACTAGCACAATGAGTACAAGAAATTAAAGATGAAGAAGTAGAAGGAGGACTAAGATTATTCGTGGTTCGTTTATGAATAATATTGATGTTTAATTGTTCAGTCGATTGAGAAATAAGTCCGAGTGAAGTATGACGAGGAATAATTTTTGGACGATGTGTATCGTTTCTAATGGAGATAATACCATGATAATCACGAATATGTAAGACAGCATGAGGAATAAGGACAAGTTTTGTATGTTGTAGTGCTAAATTCGGTGTAAACAATACATCATTTGATGATTTAATTGGTACATACCCAGAAATAAATTTTTCGTGAAATGGTGGAATAGTAATAGTATGTTGTAATGACATAATTAATGGTTCATGACGAGGAATAGGTACTAGAGGAACAGAAGTAATACCACCATGAAGATAAATACGATTTGTGAAAAAATTAATATTCACATGATTCATTTGAATCCAATCTCTTCCTAATAGCATTGGGCAAACAAGATCACGAGTAACATATGCATCAACACCAGTATTAAGATGATTAACTTGAACATTAAGATGTACTAATCCAATAAGAGATATAAATTCGCTGTTAGCAGTATGAACTTCTTTTAACGAACATGCATCAATTGGTTTATGTTTCATATTTTGTAATGTTGTTTCATGTATAAGAGATATAGCTGCATCTGTATCAACTAACACGTTGATGATGATATTATTAACAGGAACTTCAATTGATGATGAACAAAGCTGTGATGGTTTTTTCTTTTTCACAGAGGTACCACCATCTCGATACCTCCTTATAAGTTTTTTCGATTAGGACAATATCGGGCTATATGTCCAAATCGCTGATATTCGTAACATTGTTGTGAAGAAATTGATGAAGGACGATGTTGAAAAGAAGAACGACGATATGACGGTGGAAATGAATTAATTGGTACCTGCATAAGTGGTTGTGGAGGTGATTGATTATGTTGCCAATTAGACGCTTGATTTCGTATATTAAGTGGACGTTTAACAACATTTATGGTATGATCCATGTAAATATCTTCACTTGGATAACGATCAGGTTCATTTGTTGAAGGAGACGATAAACCTTTCCATGTTAATAAAAAATTTTCTTCGTCTTGCGCAATATTAAGAAATTCATTGGGTGTTGCTGGATGTCTGCGAATAACATGATCTACAAGTGAAGCGTGCAAACCTTTCGTTAAATAATGGATAATCATCGACGAGCTCATGTTAGCGTCTGCTTGTACACATAGATTAAGTTTATCATAATAATATTCCATGACTGATTCACCAGGTAGTTGAGTGCGTTGTTCCATTTTAAGTAAAGCTTGATGAATTGATGGTTGGTAAGCTTGAACAATAGCGATTTTAAAAGAAGACCAATCCGGCATGTTCTGCTTGTTAAAACGAAACCATTTAAGTGCTGCATCGGTTAAATACGATTGGATAGCTAGATATTTATTGGACGATTGTATTAGAGCACGATCAAATACTTCTTCAATATGTTTAAGCCAATGAGTAATATCTTCCGATTCCGAACCACTAAATTTAGTCAACGTTTTTACCTGTTCTTTTGCTAGTGTACTCATAAATTGTGCTTCCATATTTGATGTAAATAATGGTCGATAAACTGTAGAATGAGAAGAAGGTGAGGTGTCAGAAGGTTCCATATCGATAAGAGATAGACGTTGTACTTCTTGTGCAAATAATTGATGATGTTGTAAACGAGTTGTCACCATACAGGATAAATACCAAGTAGACAGACAATAAGTATACAGCCACGAGATAAGTCAAGAAGATCAAAATAAGAATAATTAAATATATTTTCGACGAATTGTCGAAACGGGTCACGGCACCAATTGTTAGTCTTTTTACTAACTTATCTTCTTTATTAAAAATACCAACTCTTCTTACCCTTTTCCAATCCATCTTTACTTCGGTCTCTTGACCAATAGAAGATGTGAGAACAAAGAGAGAGGTAGTGGTCGCAGATAGCGCCACTACCTTACAGTTTCGTTTGTTTTATGTTTACAAGCATAAGAGTGATTTATCTCTTTCTTTCTTTGCGTTGATTATCTTCTTTTTTGATTCTATTGTTTTTCCGTGTACTTTCCATATTTCTATTCTTTGTCTCTCTTATTTTTCGTTTTGTTTTCTTTGATCTTCTAAAAGTTTCAGTCTCGTGTTTTGTCGTTATTGGGCAGCATCTTTATCCGTTTTCGATTCTATTGCTCGTTATTGTATTTTTATTAACATACATATATTAAAATAAAATCGAAAACATTAAAATAAATTATTATTTATCATTTATTATAAAAGTATGTACAGATCAACTTACATTATAGATAAATAACTAAGTGTAAGATAATATAGAAATATCCCAATTAACATTTAAAAAGATATACATCCTCGCATATAAAGAAAGTCTTACACTCTCCACAATTTAGAGAATTGAAAGTAGAATCCGAAACAATAACAGACGATACAAGAATCGTTGAAACACTAGCTGACTACTTTGGAAAACATTTCAAGAAACCAGACTATGATGAATATGATGAAGAGCACTTACTTGCAATAAAAACATACCGGCAAATTCAATGCACCCCAAACAGACCACTGGAACAAAGCACGTTAAATGAAATTTACCTAGAATGGAAGAAGCTTAAACCGAAAACGTCCAGTGACAATACAGGCACCTCAGCCTTCATGTTAAAGCAACTCCCACACGAATACATTGGAATCATAACTATTTTGTTCAACAAATGTGTTTTGAAAGGAATTTTTTTTTTAGGAGAGTAAACATGCGAAAATAATATGCTGTCAAAAGATGGTTTTTACCCAACTGAAAATAAACTACGACCTATCTCACTACGACCCAGCATAGGAAAGTGGTACGAAAGAATTATTCATAAAAGAATATTAAAATGGCGTGATGAAAGTAACATATACGTGGATGAACGATCTGGTTTTACTTCAAAAAGAAGACTACAAACTAGAATAATTTCATTAGTCGAAGATATAAGGATAACTATTACAGCGTGTAATAGATCTGCGTTATGCATTTTTGTTGATTTTCTTTCCGCATTTGACAGAATGTGGTTTCCAGCTTTGCTTTCCACCTTAGCTAAATTGGAAATGCCTCTACCAGTGATCAAATGGATTGCATCGTGGCTACAAAACAGAACTTTTTCAATACATTATGGAGACACAATCTCAAGAACTATAAAGATGCATGTTGGGACACCACAAGGATCAATACTGGCTGCAAAGCTATTTAGGCTTCACATACACTTCTTACCATCAATTTTCTTCCAAACAACAGCATACCCTTTTGCAGACGATTTGGCTATACTAATGACATGGTCACTTGAAAAGAAATTTTCATTAAATATTGTTGGACTAGAGGAAAGAGCAAAACATGTGATGTGTATTTTAGAAAAATACGCCGAAAATAATCTGTTACCAGTAAATATTAAAAAGACAAAGGCAGCCTTGGTGCACAATGTTATTGCTCCACAATTACCAAAGCTAGAATATAAAAAACAAAAAATTGAAGTCGTTCCTTCATTCAAATATCTCGGGGGTAACAATAAGACAAAACTTGGTTGGGGATTATATATCGATGATAAACTTAAAACAATAAGAAAAACCTATAATGCAATGAAAACTCTTTGTTTGCAATATTCCCAGAAGTGAAGTGTCCCTCAGACGCAGAATATTTTTAGCTGTCTCACTTTATTTGGTTAATAACAACATGGTTCCTTTTTTGTGAAAACCAACAAAAAAAATTAATAAAACATTCATTTCGGATTTAAAAATAGTTTACGGACTTTATGGATGGGATGATATTACAACCTTAATTCTTTGTCAGGAAAAAACATGACAAGATTACATCTATGCTTGCTGGTTGCACTTTTCACTTCATCTTGATAAATCTTTGGAATCTACTTTGTATCAACATACTTCGACAGCGTGTCAGACTATAACTACACTTGATAAAACATTCTATAAAAAATTAGGGTTCAGAAAAAACAATAAATTTTTAAACAGATTAACTGAAAAACCAAAACATCGTAGATATGACAGGTTACAATTTCAACAGAATCACAGACCGCAACATGAGATATTGTAAAAATCAACTCTTTACTTAAACATGTTCATCTATAAATATTTTTTACTACTACCTTAAATTGTAAAACTACACTCTTTAGATAATATAATGTATGAATGTAAAAGAACTAAAATAGATGTCTCTGTATCGCTCTATATTTAAATAAACACTTAAGCAACGTAATCTAATTTTTCTTAACATGTTTCCTTTCTTTATTGATAAAAAGTTGTATGATAATATATTATTTCTATTTTCTTCATGTTTCTATGCTTTCAAACTATATCTTTCTTTTCTTCAGCATTTTTTTATATTACTCGTTCTTACTTTTTCTTTCTATTTTTTCCTCTACATTTAACATGTGAACCAGTATACGGCACATTACAAATGAATGTTAAAAAAAATATAGTTGAACGATGTCGTGATCTTATTACAGGCAATATCGAGCAATATAAGCTACTTATGTATTTGCCTCCAGAAGATAGACTTACAGAAGCAGAATCTTTTTCATCATCATCATTAACATCGATGAAAAACGAACCAGCTAATGAACCGATCTCGTAAAAGCAAAAGCGTATCATTCGACTACAGCCACGTATGACTGAAATAATGTCTCGAGTACTTCTTTGTCGTCCATTAATTTTTACATCAACTAATCTCTATATCGACAGAGTAATTAAACGATCGGCTAGTATTCTTGGTTCGGCATTAAATACTTTAATTAAATCTGGCTTTATATGTGTGGTGAAGAAAGGTCTGTTAAGTTCTAAATAGACATCTGTTTATGTTAAAAGATTACCTGATCCATATTCGACAGATGAACAAATGAAATTCGAATGCACGTTAAGTGAATTTGGTATATCTGGTCTCAATCTTGAGAGTTTACGGGATACATGCCATGAACTTCTTATTGAAGGGAAATGTAAGATATCAGAGGAATTAATACAAGTTTTACAACGACCTGAGTATATGGAACTCAGTTTGGATATGACTACTCTCATTCAAAGATATAGTAATTATAATTTGTATTTTATTTATAACACATGATTTTACTGAATAGATAAGTGTCAATCGATCGACAACGAAGATGTTAATTTTTCACATGAACAAGCAACTATGTGTCATAAGAATGATAAAAATCGAAAGTATTTTGTTCATAAACTATGTCCTATGTTGACAGCTAGAAAAGTGTAGCAAATCAATCTTGTCAAACAGATATGAAAAATCTGCATCTGATTTCACACTGAATAAATCGCAATCGATGAATTTTACTTTTCAAAATTGAAAAGCAAAATCATTTTTGAAGATGCTGTTTACAGTTCCTAAACAGATTGAGAAGTAATCTTTAACAAAAGAACATGGGCATGATTCAAGCACTAATCAAGCGTGCAAATTATGCTAAAAATGATGTGTATCTAAATCATTGATTCAATTTCACTATTTATGAATTCTTTCGATTCAGTCACAAAATCTAATTCAACAAATATTTTTATTGTATTTATTTGATTAATTTGTTGACTTATATCAGCGATTTTCGAATGAATCAACTTTGATATCAGTGTCATTACTTCACACGCCAATATTTGTGTATTTCAATATAAATTCAAAGAGATCATATCGTTGTTTATATATTTGAATTTCATTGAAAGATCATTGAATAGTGAAAAAGATCGTTAAATAAAATACTAGTTCTCTTCACTATTGATATCTTAAACAAGAAAAGATCTTAATCAATACGAAGAGGAAAATAAGGAAACGATCACTTTCATGAAAAGTGTTGAATCTTCGATGCAATTATAAATAACTATTAATGTGAACGATCTAGTTTTAGTAGATAAAGCATTCATCCTTCCAAAAACTAGAGAATGAATTATGAAGATGATTTTTCATAATGAGTTCGTACATTGAGGAAGCAAGGAGCTCGAACTCTCATAACTTTAATGATACCAATAAAATAATTATCATGATCATTTTTTTAGGCGCAACAGCCATCGAATCTACGTCAGTAACACATGATAGCTCTTGTTATACTGATACTGTTTGGAATGCTGGTAATCATTTGCTAGCTAAAGTGTATGAACATGAAGGCCAGCGATTTTATGTCTTCTTCCAAATTTTCTTAACATGTTTTTTTCCTATTCAGAACGTGCTGATTCAAATTTAAATATTATGCCAGATGAGATGACGACTAATGCATTTCATGGTTAGTAAAATTGACTTTAAAACCATGTTTAATGAAATATTTGTTGTCCACAACATTTGAATTAGATTCAAATCATCTGTTCGATGATATTGCGACTCATATATCTGATGGTGAGTACCAATGAATTCAAAAATAAGTTTAATGAAACAATTCTGATGCAAACATCTTCAATTAGGCCAACAACATACACTCGACAATGTTAATAATTATACCGAAGATAATTATTTTATTCTATATCAATTAGACTCAGCATCGCAGGTTATTGATTATATTTTAGTGATTTATACGTCCAAGAATAACTCTCTGGCAAATATTGACAATATGATGGTCGAAAGTCCGAGCACAATAGTTGAAGAAGACTCAACATCTTTTAATACAACAGACAATATACATGAAATCAAAGAGACTATTCGTGAAAATGAAGAAAAAACAAGTCATAATAAGAAGTATCATGTAGTCTTCAAACCAAACTTCGCTCCGATTTCGCGTCGGTTACGAAGAAAAAAATAGCTAAAATATATTATAAAATAATATATCGGTGTCATGTTTTTTTTGAATAGTTTTCCTTATAGTGTAGGATTAGCGAAAGGTAGCTGATAAATGCTTTTCGTGTTTTTTTCAGATAAATATCATGCAAGTACCTGATACTCAAGCCGATGTCATTGCTGATAAAATGGTGGACAACAATCAATGTTCATCCAATATCAAAGCTAACCATGCAAATCATCAGAATGAATTGATGTGCATTGAAAACCAAACTACACATCCTAAAGAATATTCCATCATACACATTGATAATGATGCTTCGATAAAAAATGTGAGATATATTACTAGAGTTTTAGAATTATTTTTTTGTACGATGCTTGGTTTAATTTTTTCTGTTAGATAGGAAAGGACACCATTAATTTAAATGAGAAATGTCAATTAAAAAAGATCAACAATCCAAAGAAGATTCATCAATGAGAAATGCAACTCATATAATAGACGTCGTAAGAGAAATGCACTAGATATTTTAACATTATTAAATTAAGTTCGATGAAGAAAAATCAGATCTTGATTAAATACATAATAGATATATTTTTTTCTTTTTAAACAATGATAATACACCTTTCATTTGTTTAGAAAGTATCACATAGAGAATGCTCATCGCTGAACATTTCGGACAACAGCCTACGAACATCTATAAGTATAGTTGAGACGTTGACATGGTGGTACAAATATCTTTTTTACCGCATAAACTTACCTTTATGTTCTACCTGCACCATCGTTGGTCCATCTATGATCCTCTTCGAGCAGCTAACATTGCCAATGAATTCCGGAAAAATCTGGGAACAATGCATAGCAATGCAATTATTAATGGTGTATTAGCGTTTTTCATTCGCGACCTGATGTTCAACTTATTCCAAGAAATATGTTCGATCATGATTCATACTATTCAAATAGCATTTTCATGCATCTAGTACCATTTACCGATATTTGTAGTTTATGTGATCAACAGTTAACAGTAAGTCATAGTCACAGTCGTCAAGTCAAAGTTATATGTACACAAGGAAAAGTAGCATTCTGTAATTTAAAGTGTTCTATATGGTTTTCAATTAGATAAAAATTGCTTTTTTTCTAGGAACTTTATTTTGGCTTGAATGTCGACACTTAGGGAAACATAAGAAATCACCACCATATTTTATATTTCCGAATTTCATACGTAATGCACAAGAACATATATATACATTAATATCGCTATATCATGGCAAATCTGTATATTTTGGAGGTGATTATACATTTTCTCGAGCCGTTGTAACCACTTATTCTGGAAGCGTTTAATCAAGATTTAGAGCAAGTAAAACCTTTATGTTGGAAACGATTAGCTCAAGCTCTACTTGTTTACCATGTGTTGCAATTCAATTTGACGATGAGCTGCTTGAACGTTATAATTCTAATGTCATTGAATGACTTCGATGAGTGGATATGAAACAACTATGCTAAAATGTTATCTTGGTTCATATATTTGTGGTCATCACATAAGCAAATTATAGGTCCATGTGATGAGAAATGGTCTGCTGCTGTTATTATTGACGGGCATAAGAAATGCCGATGTAGAGTCTGTCGATATAAAGATGTTGAGGTTAAGACAGACGAATTTGACAAACTTGTCATTGGATGCTGTCGAAGTCCTATGTACCGATCTCATTACTGTTCTCTGCATAGAGATCAACAATTGCCAGCGGAAACATCAATCTCAGCTTCCAATGGATATAGAACTCGATTTAAAGAAAGAAAGTCACCATGCAAAAGTGGCTCGAAAAAGCAGCAAAACATAGGGTTTCGAGCCATCAGTTATCGAACAAGCAAAGCCCGATCTGATGCATACATACATCGTTGTTCACGGTCATTTAGGCTGATTGCATGCGTCACAAATTGCTGTGTATTTGTCTCGTTTGGTGAAATTTTACGGAGTGAAACACTTCGAGAAATTCTCCATTTACTCTTTTCAACTATCCGGGGTGAGTGCAACTAACTAATAACAAATCTTAAAATTAGTGCATTCGGCCGTGAATTTGGAGTTGGTGAGTGGTATGACGTTACGAAGATGTTACATCATTCTTACTGAGAGAAAGAAAGTCGGGAGGGAAGAAAAGAGAGAGAAGAGAGCGAGAAGAGAGTGGGAAGATAGAAGAGTAGAAGAGAGAAGAGAAGAAAACGAGTGAAAATGGTAAAACTCTCATCCTCTCTCTGTCCTCCCTCATGCTTTCTCTCTCCCTTCACTACCTGACCATTATCCCATTAAACTTGCAGATTAGCATTTGCCATAAATCGGTTTTTTTAAAAAAGTGAACTTCCTGTAAAGTCAAATTTACCACCATATGATCTTTTTACTATTACAGACTGTAGTAACGACTATATTCTACCACTACCGACACTAAGACATCTGTTGCCCCACATTATATTTATAAGCAAATTGTTAATATTCTAATAGTAGATCTTAGAAATAAGGTGGATTTTCACGAATGGTTTTCACGTAACCAACTTCTGCATCAGCTTGCGCAGTCCACAGCATATATGTGACTTCCAGATTGTAATCTCAACGGGATTGCGCCGAAAAAGCTTTTGAATTAATTGTACCTTACTTTATTTTCTTAAGAGATTCAATTGAAAATCTAGTGCATTTACTATAAAAAGACTGTTCTAATTAAATGCTTGTGAAAATTCTTTATTTTAGTAGCTGACAATTTACCACCTGCTGGCTGCTATGATGATGGTTGTTATCTGGTACAATACTTACATAATCATATTCGAAAAGATCTTGTAGCAACCGATGCGGCAACAGTTCTATCAAATGTTAAATTCAGTGTAGGTCGGACACATTTCAAAAACCACGTTGGTGAATGGTGTCTTGCTCATATGAATCCAGATGATAATAAACGTGAGTTATAATTCAATTATAAATTAAATACTTTCAAAATTTTTAGTACTTGATGAAATGAATACCGAAGCTGCTGAACAAAATTTCAGTTGGTTGAAGAACTATTCTTCGATTATTACTGTTCTAGGATGGCGTCGAGCCCCAGTATTTCTGCTTTTACTGTTTCATATGAAAAACCTAGCTCTTTGTCATGTTAGACCTAATCGAGTTTTTGACATTGTGAGTAAAAATTTACTTAAAAAATTAATAGCACTGAATATTCATTTTTTAGGTTAACAATTGTGTTCTGGTTCCGGGTGTCAGTCTTTCTCATAGTGAAAAAATTATACAAGTGGTTGAGACGAATTCTTTCTTACATTTGGAACGTGAGAGTCCTACAAAAACCAAAGAATCTGCTTGTGATAAAAAAAAAGAATAACGTCTGTATTCCTATGATGGAGCCTACTAATACCGATTGGGCAGCACAAGTATCAACAATCCGTAAAAACAATAATATTGTTGATACGCGTCGACATAAAAAGCACAAACGCCTTTAAAATTTATTCATTAAGACGTTCACTAGAAATACTAACAAAAATAGAAAAATTCCGGAGCACATTAAAAATTTTTCAATTTATATGCGATTATAATGAATGAAGAGATTTAGAATTTATTGAAACTGACACTCTCTAACATCTTTTAGATTATGTCGATGTCAAATGAACAAATATTTGATCGTTTAAAACAATTAGGCTGCAATCCTCCAACTATAAATGAAAATAATCGGATGTATGGACTTGCAATGATATACAATTTCGAGTTAGAGCTGAATAGTGATGTAGATGACATGGTATTCGATGACCAAGATATGGAACAAAAGCTACTATGCAAGGAACAACAACGTAAGATTGATTGAATTATTTTAATACCTGAGTTTTTTTTATTTTCAGTGGTTTCTCCAAAAACAATTTACCAAGTAAATTAGAACGACTACGTAGGGATGACTAAACAGGTAATATTATCACAACTCATATTTTATTACACATATATTTCATTCAAGGATATACATACAATATGACCTTACACTGAAAAAAAAAGTTCCATACGAAACTTAAAAAAGGTTCCGAGATTTGCAACGAAATCTAAACCTTTTTTCGGTTTCGTATAAATATGGTTTCGTATGGAACCGTTCCCAGTTAGTATTCAAAATGGTTTTGTACCTCAAATAGTCTCTCCATTCGACTGCAATGTCTCTGCGTTTGCACTAATACTACCATTCACGCTTCCATTACAATTCAGGCAACTATCTCTTTGTTAACAAGTTCATTCCTTAATTTATATCTTAACTTTTAAATGTATACCCTATGTTAACCTCTTACTCTACATCTAGCCCTTAATCTATATCCTTATTCTATACCTAACCCTTATTCTATATCTAATTCTTAATCTATATTCTTATTCTATATCTAACCCTTAATCTAAATCCTTAACCTATATCTAAATGGCTCACCGTTTAGATTTTTGGTTTACAATAATCAAGAGCAGTGTGTGAATATGGATCATCGTCAACTGATAAAAAAAGACCGATTCACATCCTAAACAATCAGCAAAGTATTTTCATCTCTTCAAACTCACAATTTTTTTTCTCTGTTCGGATTGACCTAAAACGAGAAAAATTCTAAAATTATCACTGTACTTACCAATGATACATTTTATTGTGAAAAATCTAAATAGAAAAACCAAATTTCAATGGTTACATATATTTACAATGTTTTTTTTTCTGTGTAGATTTACCTAAAACGAGAAAAATTCTAATATTACCATTGTACTTACCAATGATACATTTTGTTGTGATAAATCTAAATAGACACTATATATTTCTATTATTTTCTGATGGTAATCGGCTTTTGTCAATTGTGATCCGATGATTGTGAAGTGAAAAAACACGTTTGTTATTATGATAGTTACCGTGGATTTATTTCATGATATAAGGTCGGGGGAAAAATCGTTTGTGTATTTGGTATTCCTAATGTGAATCTTGTTAATGGAGGATAGTTGCGCAAGTCAGATGATTCACTTCAAATTACTTTTCTCTGTATGTTGTTTCGAATTCTATCTCTACGGTCGTATAGCTGATAATTGTTTCATGAGATAACGCTCATTTTCTGGGCGATGTAGTTATGACATAACTTATTCTATAGGTTTATTGTTTTTCAAGGAAAAAGCAATGTGAAAATCGTAAAGAAAACGGTCACGAATAAATATATAAGTAAAAGAGTATCTAAGAAACAGCGGAAAATGTGCAAAATAGTTTTTGAAGCATTTGCTACTAGAAGTGTCTCCATTATAAAAGAAAGATTCAAGCTGGAAACGTTTGTATTGGTTTGTATACATTTATATAAGGAAATATATTATTAAAGGGTTCATCTTAGATTTATGCAGAAGATTATGTTAGTCACATAAAATACAATACAGTCGTTTCAGCATTAACAACTTCTACATATTTGAACTTTTATGTAATAGGTACAAATTCTAGCACGATTATATTACATTCGATGAAACGTGGACAGTTTGGCATATATATTTGATTTAA